AGGGTATAAGGGCATAAGGGTTTTGGGGTTTAGGTTTTGACATCGGTTTTATGGTTTCGGGTTTAAGGCTTTAGGGTTGAGCGTTTAAGGGTTTAGGGTTAAGGGGTTGGGGTTGAGAGTCTGGGGGTTTAGGTTGATCGTTTAAGAATTTAGGGTTTAGGGTTAGGGTTATTAAGGGTTTAGGGTTGAGGGGATTGGGGGTTAGGGTTTGGGGGGGTTATCCCAAGTCGCTTTCACAAAACGAAGAAGAGCTCCTACCCCTCAAGACCCGGCGGCCGACCAAGCCCAAATCCCAAACCCTACAAGCCGGAAGCCCCGGCCCTAAACTCGCAAGATGCCAAAGCTCCAGGCCCCGCCACCCTCACCAACCACCCCCGGATCTACTTCGACACAATCCTGAAGCAATCATCACCCCTTATAGGCCTTTTTTTTATCAGTGCAGCAATAATATCCACATAGTCATCGTCAGTCCCTATATAACCTCAGTCACAGCATACTCTATACCTCCGACTGATATTCTAGCTATGCAGAGTACCCTAAACCTTCTTCGAAGTTTCACGCCCGCAACCCCAAACCCTAAGCCCTAAACCCTAGACCCTAAACCCTAAACCATCTAGCCTCAGTGCAGGCCTACGACGCCATTGTGTCGGTAGCCGGCTACGGCATGGGCCACCGGACTCGCAGTTCAGCGTTGAATACAGTGGTCTAGGGAAAGGCTAAACCCTAAACCCGTCCAGGGTTTAGGGCTTAGAGGGTTTAGGCTTTAGAGGGTTTTGGGGTTTAGGGCTTAGGGCTTAGAGAGTTTAGGCTTCAGAGGGTTTAGGGTTTGAGCCCTAAAGCCCTAAACCCTAAACCTTAAACCTAAAAACCCCTAAACCCCTAAGCCCTAACGCCTGCGAACTTGCGCCCTACTGTGACTCCATAGTCGAAGAAACCCCTCGAAATCTTCAAGAGCTCCTGAGTTAGGCGGCTATCTACGGTGTGTTTTTTGAAGGTTTGATTATGAGCGATTTCGAAGGTTTACAATTTAAGGATTTGGGGCTCCAGGCTTCCAGGGAGTAATTAGTTGAATGACGATCCATGACGGCCGCAAACCATAATCCCCTCATCCTCCTAGAACCATAGAACCCTTATATACCCTCCGCGCAGAAGCCTTACGAAGTTTGTATAGTGCCCTCCAGCCCTTAAATGATCTGAATAGTTTCCTTATACTACCGTTAACGAGCCCGTCAAGAACCCCCAAAGAACCCTAAACCCTAAACCTCCATGGATCCTCAGTGGAACCCGTAACGGAGTCCTAAGTAGAACACCAAGCCCTTATATGGATCCGGAAGCCTTAAACCCCTAATTATATAAGCCCTTAGAGGAATCCTTAAGGAAACCATCAAAAGGACCCTGAATCCATATGCGCAAAGAGGAACCCTTAAAGGAAGCCCTTATTAAAACCCCAAACCCAAACCACCAGACCCCTAAACCTGAACCCTACACCCTAAACCCTATACCCTCAAGAACAGGATAAATAGAAATTGTGTGAATTTGGCTTCAAACTGCATCTTCGATAGTTTCGAATTTTCACTAAACGTGTGCAAGCCCCCTCCCCCAGCCCATCCCGCCCAGCCCAGCCCAGCCCAGCCACCCAGCCAGCCTAGACCGCCCAGCCCAGCAGCTGGGCCGAGCGCAGCCCACAGAGCCCAGCCCTCCGGCCCAGCCCAGCCCTGCCCAGCCCTCCAGACCAGCCCACACCAAGAATCGCAAAAGCAAAAAGCAAAACCCGGCAACGCCCCCCAAAACCCGGCAAATCTCCGGACCCAAACCCTATACAATTTCTATAAATCAAAAAACCCTAAGCCCTAAATCCCTTAAACCTGAAACCCGAAGGTACCCTCGAACCTACAGAGCGATCAGGAGCTCCGCAGCCGAAAGGGCGTTCCTTGGGCCGTTGAAGGGTTTTAGGGGTCTGGTCTGGTGGTCTAAGGCTTGGACCTCAGGGGTTTGGGCTGTTTTAGGATTTCGGCTTTAAGTTTGTTTTTAAAGGGCTTTAGGGCCTTTTTAGGGCCTTTAGGGTTTCGGGTGGGCGTCTTGAGAGGCTTGGAGCATTTAGGTTTTAGCTGGTTATTTTGAGGGTTCCTTTCGTGGATGTAGGATTTAGTCATCGAGGTCTCAGGGCCGAACGGCTTTCCGGGTTTGGGGTTGTAACTTGTGACTTTAACCGTCACAGACTCACAAACTTCAACCTCAAATTCTTCGCAAGTTCCTCCTTGGCCCTGAACCTCTGCAACAGAACAGGCAGGGCGCTGGAAACTCCTGTGGTGGAGGATTGCGAAGCTCCGGTCTTCGACGGACAACACTAAAACCTTTAAGCCCCAAACGATAAAACCTCCGTAAACCCTAAACCCAAACTCCATGAACCTTAACCCCTGGCAGCCGTGAATTTTCAGGTAAGGTTTTCGAGTGGTTCCTGAACGAGTCCATCTCCCACCTGAGAGACGTGCCTATCGTCCTCGGCGTCCATGCACCCGCCGACACCATGTCCAGCTTTGCGGATGTGCAGCCCCTAGTTGCGGTGGCTAAACGGTTTAGGGTTTAGGGTTTACGATGATGCAGACTTTTGATAAGTCGCATCATCGCCCGTGCCATTGTGTAGAAACCCGCAGACAGACAAGTGGACACGCAAACCAGAGCACGCAGCGGAAGTAATGAGTTACCTACCTACCTACCTACCTACCTACCTACCTACCTACCTACCTACCTACCTACCTACCTCCACCGACGTACCGACCTACCGACCTTTCATACCGGGCCTACCTACCTACCTGCCTACCTACCTATCTACCTATCCACCTATCTATCTATCCCTCTCTCTCTCACTCTCTCCCTCCCCATCCATCCGTCAATCGATCTACCTATGTATTTATCTATTTGTTTATGTATCTACCCTATCTACCGATGCATTTGCCTATCTATCTATGTATCTATCTATCTAGATGTCTAGCTATCTAGCTGTCTATGTAATTGTCTAGCTATCTTGCTGCGTATCTGTCTGTCTATTGATCGATGTACTTACCCCGCTAGCTAGCTAGCTGGCTATCATTATATATCAAAGCACATGCACATGCATTCATTCATGCATACGGATATGTGCAAGGTGCCGCCAAGATCTACTTGAACTGTTTAGGTCGCTGCACTGTGGCGGAACAGATAGTATGCCTTGAGGCAGCCCCTATAGCATGCTTCATGGTGTCTGGCTCGACCGGGGGTAAAGGCATTTCAGAGCGCCCTTTTCTTTGTTTCTTTGGTGGTATAACGGTTTTTCTCGCATTGCGCTAGGCTTTACAGGGAGCCTTCTTCATGGTTTGGGGTCTGGGGTTTATTGAGAAGGGTCTCAGGCGCTGCTTGAGGGCTCTTAAATGTAGCCTAGGAGACTACGTTGAAGGTCGTTTCTCATTTTCTCATGATTTCCGTTTTGCCATGAGGCTTCAAAAAAAATTGAAGCTAGGAGTGGACGGAGTAGAGGCAGGTGCATAAAGGCCCTCTATCGGAAACATAGAACGACTGGCTTCGCGCAGAGTAACAAAACGAAATAGATTGGAATGAGCAGCACGAGTACAACAGGGATGATGGTGCTCAGAAGACCAACGAGATGATGCCCGCTTTCATGAGAATCGTGTAAGACGGCAGGTAGTCAATGCCGGCATAATGTCAAATGACGGCAGCAAGAACAAGAATGGTAGAAGACGAAGAAAAGCATACGAAGCAGCACAGGAATTGGGGTTTTTTGTTCAGGAACTTAGTTTTGTTAATACAAGTTACCACAGTAAGGAAACCACGTTTTTTCATAAAATCGTTGTTCAGGAAGTTAGCTGAAGTTACCACAGCAAGGGGACCCTACTATTCACATTTGGTTACTATCGACACCTGTTCTGGTTACTTGAAGTCTTCGAGTAGGTTCCTTGACGAGAACCCAAGCCCTAGACCCCTAAACCCTAAACTCCTAAACCGTAGCCATTTTGGCTCAAGTTGCGCTAGCCTTGAATTGAAAGCCCGCTGGTCACTGCATACCCAGACCTGACAGAATGGCTACCTCCTGGATCGAACGCCAGGTGCTTCATCAACTTCAGGGGCATGTCTGTGAGGTTGGTGTTGACATAATTCGTCACCAGATGGCTTCCAGGCGCGGTTTACGGGGCTGCATGAGGAAGCACGGTTTGCTGGAAGAGCTCCAACCTCTCCGATCGTTTGATGAGGAGGCGGTTTCAAGCTGCCCAGCACTCGCATCGATTTCAACCTGTACCGGGAATTGTCTGCACTGCATACAGGACGCTGGCGTCGGGGTGTTCGACCCGTGCCAGAACCAGACTATGTACTTGGTAGCAACACATAACTGCGAAATCCACGAGTTCCGAGGGGACTGTTGGATAGAGCGTGTTACCCGGGCCAGTAAGAATTCAGCGAGGAACCGCATCGGAGTGACGAGACATGGCACGGCGAAGGAAAGACTGCCATACGCATTCGTAGCGCTTGATGACGCGCTACTCGCGGCGTGTCAGCAACAACTCATTCGTCAGTGCACTAAACCTGACAGGGGCGCCTTCGGCGACTGTTATGCGTTTGGTGTGAGATGCATGGAGGGTTTGCGTGACAGCCATGCCCGCGTGATGACGTTGCGACTGCATGTCATCATTGCCGCACGATTGCTCTGGCAGCCTAATACCGTTACATGTGTACAGAGATGAGGAAGGCTATTGAGGAAGAGGCAAAAGCCAACCTGGAGCATAGCGATATTCCAGGCTGTTCGGAGAAGGAGAGGAGGGCCCACTGCGCATCGTGGGAAGCCGTGCCCGAGAGTGGCAACATCCCGGGAGTGCATGTCGCCAAACCAACCATCGGGAATGCGTTGAAGGCCATGCGGGATCGCCACTTCAAGATAGGGGCGGGGGGTGGGCGTGATGACGGCGAAAGGGAAGAAGCACGTGCAGCGCGCGTGTTCCCTCGTCAAACAGGCGCTCATGGAATCCTGCGTAGACAGCGGTGCACTCGCCTTTGCCTTCGACGTGCTGGAGGCTCTGCCGACCGAGTTCAAGTCAGGCAAATGGACCGAAGAACGCTACAACCTGGCAATGAGGGCGGCAGGTCTGGACATGCCTAAGGAGCTGAAGAGAAAGGCTCACGTTAAGCCGAACGAGGCTCTGTCCAAGGAGAAGCCACGAATGATTATAACATCAGGCGACGAAGGAGTCGTGCGGCACATCCTGGACAGCGGCCTGTTGGAGCACGCTCTGTTCAACAACCCTTTGTTCGAACAGAGGTCGCTAAAACACGCCAGCAGGCGTGAGTTCGGCAGGCGCATGGGGGAGATGCTGCGTTGCTATCAGCACGCAGCGAGTATGGATTTCGGGGCGTTCGATGGGTCCTGTACCAAGGAGGTCAGGGATCTCATCGAAAACGACATTTTGGTGTCAATGTTTGCCAAGGTCATTCATTGATGCCGAGGGTGACGGCGGTCTTATGTACGCGGCCATCAAGGACCGCATCAAAGACAAAGCGCACATCTCGGTCAAGAATGTGATCAAGGCAGTGATCTTTGATATGATTCGCGAATCCGGCGATCGCGGAACGAGCGTATTAAATTTTATCACTAATTTGACACTTTTCTATGCTAATGTGTCCCTCATGTTGGAGAAGAAAGGCATGAAAGACAAGGCCATCAAGAAACTCATAGCCGAGAGCCTCAAGAGCGGTTCGCTTGCCAACCTCATGGGCGAGGGAGATGACGGGCTACAGGTGTTCGAACGAGCCTTCGTGGAACTTTTCGGAGACAAGTTCACGTTCGGAAAAGAATGGTGCGACGGATACAAGGAGTATGGCTTTAAAATTGAGCCGCAGGGGCCTGCTGGAGACCTGGAGTTTCATGATTGCATCACCGACACCTCAGAGAGGGTCGAGTTTTGTTCTAAGATAGCTGTCAGTGTCAGCGGGCAGACTTATTTCTTTCCGAAACCCAGCAAGCTCAGCAACTCGTTGACGGCCTCATTTGACACAGCTAGTTCGAGGAGCGACGCTTCATACACGAAAGCTGTGGCAATGATGTCCAATTGCGTGCACCAGCCGTTGCTGTTTGCCCTCTGCAGGGCAATGGCGCGTGAACACAGGAAAGAGGGGGGCGAATTGATCACATGGGAGCTGCAGAAGATCCTCGGCCCAAGGGAACCCCAAGGAGAGTATGGAGGTGACTTCGAGGAGGCCATGGTACGCGAGCACGAGATCTTCCTCAACGAAAGTCAGGCGGCAAGCAGGATGATGCTGGCCCTCGAACGGGAGACAGGGATTTCAGTGGTAGAGCAGGAGGAGGCCATTCTAGCATTGGACGCTGGGAACCATGATGCGGTGACCGCGTGCCTCAGGGCATTGAGAAAATGAGAGCTGGATGGCACGACCTGAGCATGTCGTAAAACTGCTCAACTGGAGAGTGGCCCGTGCACACGGGAGCGCCACCGGGCTGACGCCAAACAGTCCCTACCTGGTGAATGTAGTGGTGTGAAAAGGCGTACCCGACGTCAATTGCCAGACCAGGGCAAGCACCTAGCACTTCTGATGAGTCCGCAAGCTTGGGCAACTGCTCGGACGAAAGACCGCCGGCGTGGTGAGGGTAGCACCTGCTTTACGGGGGCAACGCCGCAGTGGGGCATCGACCGTTGGGCACCAGGTCACGAGTCGCGATGGCTTATGCCTATTACGTTGACAATAAATATGTGACAGCCCTGGTCTTCGGGGGAACGTGAATAAACACGCCTTGTGCCGTAGTGGTGTGCAACACTACGTGCGCATTTATGCCTCGGAAAGGCTACGGGGTATGACTCGTAACCTTGGGGTGAATACCACCCCGCCCAGCGGTGCAGGCAATGTATCTTTCGTGCGTCCGACGTTGTTAGTATTCCGGTACGAACGGTGCAGTCTGGCCGAAAAGCATCCTGAGAATTGGCTGGCTACCAAATCGATGGACTGGGCATATGTAGCCTCACGTTGCGTTGAGAGTTCACAGACTGCGTGCTGCCATTGCAATTTCTCTTTGGGTCGGACCATATGAAATCGCAATGCTTGTGAGTGAAGCATGTTGGGTTGAAACAGTATTGGAAGACCTCGGCGTCTTGCATAAGGTTGCGTCGTTGCCCTTCCTACTGCTTGAGAACCTTCGCGGGGAGCAAGACACTGTTCGGCGAGCCTTGCGGGCTGCCTCGAAAGCATGGGCATGTCCTGAGCCTTTGCAACTGTGTCATGCCTCTCGCAAGGCCCACGCATTTACCCGCTTCTTCGCCAAGCAAGGGGAGCTATGGCACCAACATGACGTGACCCAAATCTGGTGCAGATGCTTGTGTGTGTGCTGAATGCGGAGTCGTTGTGAGCGGCGCTGCTGCTTTGGCGTCGCATCGTCGCAAGATCCACAGTGTTTGTTCGCTTGGGAGCCGCCTTGGAAACTTCTCGTCCTGTCCGCGTTGCATGGTCGAGTTCTGGAGTGCTAGCAGGCTTTGGGACCACTTGCGTAAGCAGGCAGCATGTAGGGCTGCCTTTGAAGCAGCCGATTATGACTTGCAGCTTACTGGAAAGCAGCAGCTCGTCCACGCAAGTCTGAAACCAGCCACTCGCATACAAGGGCCCAAGACGCTGTGGGCCGATATGGATGTTGCCCATCACTTCCGCCCAAATGCTGTTGCACAGGATCTGAACCTTGTGGTGCCAAATGTTTGGGCCGCTTGTTGCAAGAATAGGCCACTGGAACCCTCCGCGGCGTGGCTCTCAAAGACCTGGCAGATGCTGTCACAGGCAATCCTGCGTTTTTCAACTTTGCAGAAAGCTGGAAGTACAGACGCTGAGCTACAGCTTCTTCTCTTGGCTTGTCAGGGAATTGATGTTGTTGTTTTTGGGTTTTGCTGTTGGACGAAAGGCACCCCGCAGTGCCATGGCAGAGGCAACTCGCGTGCTCCAGCTCTGATTCCATAGCGTGCATCGTGAGCTGGTGACGGGCATTGATCATCTTGAGGAAGATCCGAGCAAGCTTTTTGCGTTTGTTGAAGCTTTGAGCTCAGACTGTACCGTGTAAAGAGAGCTTTGTTCAGTCTTGCATGCGAATTTGTATCGCACCTAACTGGCCTAGAGTTCCCAGAAGAAGAAGAAAACTCCTAAACCCTAGACCCCTAAGCCCTCAA